TTCTTTCTAAGCGCTAGGTCCACTCCGAACGCCCAATTAACGCCTAGCGATTTTTTAAACATAGGTCAATACTGATAATTTATTAAAACAATTGTTTTTTTTGGCTTTTCCATTATTATTCTTTTCTTTTACCATTTCTTCTTTTTTTCGTATTATTCTTTGTATCTAAAATCTTATAAATACTTTATAAATACCTTATAAATGCATTTTAAATACCTTTAAAAACCTTTAAAATATCTTGTAAAACCTTTGAAAAACCTTAAAAATCCTTTAAAATAACTTGTAAAACCTTTGAAAACACCTTATAAAACCTTATAAATACTTGGATCGAGTCTTGAAGTAGTAGTTACAATCCATAAGTACCTTATAAACTTAATAAAACTTTATAAAATTTTCAGATTTAAAAAGGGGCATTTTTGAAAATGGACATCTAAAAGGGGCATTTTTGAAAAGAGGCACACCAAAAGAGGTATTTTTAACAATTTCCCTATATTAAATATATATACAAAATATCTTTATGTTGAATTTAATATATTAGTTTTGTTTTTAATATTAAAATAAATAAAAATATTTTTTTTGCATATTGTTGTTGGTCAATGCCGGTCAACGATGGTCAACGCCGGATTTCGACGATTGGTGTACCGGAATAAGATGTTTGTGATGTTGACTACATGTTGTCATATAGTTGGTATATGTGGGCATGCAATACATTTAGTTCGTGTAATTGGTTGTACATTTCTAAACTTGGCATGTGTAGCTATGTATTCCGTTATACTTCGTGTAGCTGAATATTTTTTTTCTTTTATATTACTTGCTTTTGTCTTTTTCTTCTTCCAACGCTTACGGTTTCTCCCATATATTATTTTAATTATATTATTTTGTTTTGAGTGCATAATCTCTTACCTAGCCTCATTTTATTTTGTAACAATAATAAAAAAAATATCTTGGTAATAACCACACGTTAATAAACCAAAGTGTATTTTAGATATTTAAAATATTGTTAATAAAACTACTAAATTTTGAGTAGAATTTCTTCAAACTATAACATTGAACACACCAACATATTAGTAAATTTTGCAAAAATGTTATATATATGAAAAAATATCATAAAACTAATCTCTGATTAATTCCTGTTTAATCTCCGATTTTTTTTCTAAGCGCTAGTTCCACCCCGAACGTCCGATTAGCGCTAAGTGATTTTTTAAACATAGGACAATACTGATAATTTATTAAAACAATTGTTTTCTTGGCTTTTCCATTATTATTCTTTTCTTCTACCATTACTTCTTTTTTCGTATTATTCTTTTGTGGTTTCGCTTAGATATTTTGTTTGTAACAGTTTCCAAAGAGAGACGACTCTGAATCCCAAAAAAAATCAAAGAGAGAAGAAAGACGATTTCTCGAAGAAGCTATGGCGGATCAACTCACTGACGAACAGATCTCCGAATTCAAGGAAGCTTTTAGCCTCTTCGACAAAGATGGCGATGGTTAGTCTCTCCAAACAGATCTCGCATTTTCCTTTTTCGTCTTCAATCGATGCTTTAGAACGCTGTATCTCGTCCTCTCGAGCTTTGAATATGTGTTCATGTTTCGCTAATCGCTTTAGATTCAGATTTATCAACCTGTTCGTATTCTTTCGTTCGTTGTGTTTTTGATCTTTGACCGATTATTTTTCGCTTTTTCGATCTTCTCTGGCTTTTCGTTTCTGATTGAATCGTCTCCTTGTTGTCCTGTTTCGTTGATTTGTTAGCTTGGATCTGAGTTTTTTTTTTTTTTTTTTTCGTTTCACACATTTTTGGTCTTTGAATCTTTTGTAATTTATTTACATCTGCTATGATTGTTTGATCATTCATCGAGTTTGCTCTTTGTTGATGAATAATGTGTGATTTTGTATCTTTTAGAAGCTTTGATGGTTCTTCTTGATTTGTCTTTGGCTTGTTGATCAAGGCTTTGTGCTCTTTGAGCTAGGAGTTTGATTTAAACCAGATTCATAAATTGTTTTGAAATGATTCTTGACTTGTCTCATTAAAGATGTAATCAAGCTTAAAGTGCAGTTTTATGAGATTAGCAAAAACTGGTTCATCTTTGATTCCCATTGAGCCTTGAGTGTTTGTGGTGGGTTCTAAAATGTAATGTTCTTTGAACTCGATAATCAAGAGAACAATCTGAACATCAAGACCTTAAAACGAAGTTGAAAATTATTCTTCAGTTGCCTCAAAATATCACTCTGCACACTTATTCATCAACTGTGTAGATTTCTTGAAGCTTAAAGTGCAATTTTGTGAAGATTTGTTTGCTCATGTATACTTTGAGAGATTAGCGAAAATAGGTTCATGTGCTTTTGCTTATAGGTGAGAAATGATCCTTGTGTATGTATCTGTGATGTGTTCTAAAATGTAATACTCTCTTAATTGTGGCACAGGTTGCATCACAACCAAAGAGCTGGGAACAGTGATGCGTTCACTAGGACAAAACCCAACAGAGGCTGAGCTTCAGGACATGATCAACGAGGTTGATGCAGATGGAAACGGCACAATTGATTTCCCAGAGTTCCTGAACCTGATGGCTAAGAAGATGAAAGACACTGACTCGGAGGAAGAGCTAAAAGAAGCATTCAGGGTTTTCGACAAAGACCAGAACGGTTTCATCTCCGCTGCTGAGCTACGCCATGTGATGACCAATCTTGGTGAGAAGCTAACTGATGAGGAAGTTGAAGAGATGATCCGTGAGGCTGATGTTGATGGTGATGGTCAGATTAACTATGAGGAGTTTGTCAAGATTATGATGGCTAAGTGATTTGATAAAGGTGATGATGATGATGACCTTTTTAAACTTCTAGGAGTTTTAACCAAAAACATTTGCATGATTGGTGGAGATATGCTTTAAAACAGACATTATTTGTTTTTCGTTTTTTATTTTCTGGTTTGTGACTTTTGTGTGTAATGGAAATCAAGTAAGTTGGATTGGGTTTTACATTTTGTTGCTTGTTTGGTTTTACAAAAAAAAACGGATAAAATAAACATAAAAAAAATTAAGTAGTAGTTAAAACTTAAAATTATTATAATTATATTAAAATGTTCTCTTTCTGACTTATTGTTTTAATCATTTGAGCCACTCGTCTGAACTGTCCGTTTCTATACGTGTGAATGTTAGCAACAGAGAATATGATTCGCGTCCAACCACTTCCAAATTTGTGTCTAATCAAATTCTTAATTTTCATACGACAAAGACAAATAGAGGTCGCTGAAAAATTAGTTTTGGTATAAACTATAAAGTGCTTTTCTTTTGTCAATATAGTATAAAAAGCTTTTCTTTTTTTTTTTTTTTTTTTTTTTTGGGCAAAAAAAAAAGCTTTTCTTTTGTCTTATTTCTTTGGATGACAAGTTGAAAATTGATGTTGGACTAATAGAAAAACGACACATGTAAAAACATAAGGTTGGTATTATTCCATTGGCCACCATAAATTGGCGTGAAGTAGTAAATTTCAAGACAAGTTTTAAATTAAGATTTTGAACAATACTATTCATATTTTAATATATTGTTATTTTATACTTAAAATAAATTATACAATTAAATAAAAAATTCATAATATTTCATTTACACATTTCGAATGGCAAGAATCGTTATGAGTTATGTCCCCGACTATAATCATTTATTTAAGTTTTAATTTCTCAAAGATTGTACCGTTTGAAATCCAGCTTCAACAAAATGAAACACAAAACAAATTGCAAGTCTTTCATGCTCGGGATGCTTTTCTCCCAATAGTAAACAGAATAGCTGCGGAACTTCATGTTATATTTTGATGTCTTCGGAGCTTACATTAGCAAAATGAAATTGGTTAGAACAAAAGTCTTCACCGAAAATTAACTAAGAAAGAAGAGTAGAAACACCAACATTCCACCAGAATCGATGAAGTCCATATCACTCAACATCAACGATTCAATGATCTTTGAGTGCTATGACACAATTGCACTTAGGCGAGGGACACCATTTTTGGGTTCTACTATCCTCAATGTATGACCTAACAACAAACCTACAATATTTTTCAAGTTCCCTAGGACATGTTGATACTTTTACTAGACATGCGCCTAAGGTTCTGTCGCCTTTCCTAAAATTGTTAATTATCTTGAATGGTTAGAGACAATATTGGCATGGTTATACCAAAGCTTTAATGGTAGACACCTTTAAAACTCTTAATCATGCTGGATTTAATATCATCCACATATCACCCAAAAACTTTTTCCAAAGAATTCATGAGAAAAAGAAACAATCATATATTTGGACACCATGTGGAGTTGTGTACGTGATGGGTCTGATTGGTTATCAAAAACTTGACAAGTTTTTTAGCTGTTAGTTGGAGCTGTAAATTTTACTGTAATAGTGCAAAACTGTAAGAAAGATTTGTACAAAAAAGCTGAGAATAAAACTGTTAGTAACGCTTTTGATAAAACTTTTGTAATTGGTAACTGTCAAAGTTGTACACCATGTACCGCTTTGATAATGGGTTACCATTCAAAGCCGATAATTGGACACTTGGGAATATAATACAAATTGAACCATGATTTTGCACACACTATGAACCAAGTAAGTGATTTTTTGTAGTGATAAACCCAACTACACAATCTAAAGAGTGGCTAGAGGACCTTACCAAAAAAAAGGAGTGACTAGAGGACGAAAATCTTTTGCATATTCATTTTCCTATATTTAGTCTCGTGATGTTACTTTGTTTCAATAACTCTATTTTGGTTTTCTAATGGAAGTTTACAGAACAAAAAAATAGCAACTTGTCCTATGTTTAATCAAAAATAAACATTTCCTTTTATTATTGGTAAAAAAGACATTTTGGAACCATAAAATATAGAAAGTAAACAAATTTTGGAAAAGTAAATAAATTAAAATTAATAAAGATGCCTCCAGCTCACGCAATCTTAACGCGTTTTAATAAAAAAACGCGTTATTACGTCACTCTCTCTTTCCCTTATTTATAACCATTCTTAACCAAATCCTTCTTCTTCACACACACAACTCTAACCGTTTTTTTTCTCAATCTCTCTCAAATCTCAAAACTCTTCAACAATGTCATCGAAGAACGGAGTTGTTCGTAGCTGTTTAGGATCAATGGACGACATCAAAAAAGTCTTCCAAAGATTCGACAAAAACGGCGACGGAAAAATCTCCGTCGACGAGCTAAAAGAAGTGATTCGCGCTCTTTCACCAACAGCATCACCAGAAGAAACAGTAACGATGATGAAACAATTCGATCTCGACGGTAATGGATTCATAGATCTGGACGAATTCGTTGCACTTTTCCAAATCGGAATCGGTGGAGGAGGTAATAATCGAAGCGATTTGAAAGAAGCGTTTGAGTTATATGATTTGGATGGTAATGGAAGAATCTCGGCGAAAGAGCTTCATTCAGTGATGAAGAATTTGGGTGAGAAGTGTTCTGTGCAAGATTGTAAGAAGATGATTAGTAAAGTTGATATTGATGGTGATGGTTGTGTTAATTTTGATGAGTTTAAGAAGATGATGAGTAATGGTGGTGGTGCTTGAGAGATTCCGGCGGCGGAGATTAATTTCTAGGTTTTGTAATTAGGAAAAAAAAAGTTGGATTTGATCTTTAGTGACGGCGATTAAAAACCCTAGAAAATTATAAGGCAAAATCCTCTAGATGATTTCACAAGTTTCCTTTTTTTTTTTTTTTTTTTTTAAGTTTGTGGTGATTGATGATTATTGATTTTAACTATTTAAGGTTGTTTCTATCTTTTGCTCTTTTTTATAATTGCTATGCTTTTGGAGTATTATTTAGTGTTTAATGTACTGAATTAATTACTGATTCAAAAGTTAAATCGAATCTTTTTCTTTAATTTCGCTGGTTAATTTTGAATGTACAGTAAAACTTCTATAAGTTAATACAATTGAGACTATAATATTTTATTAATTTATCGATATACTAATTATTTTGAAAACCAAATTTGAGACTGAAGAAATGTATTGATTAATCAGGTATTAATTTATTGAAGTTATAAATATACTGTAATGATTAATCTTTCCAACTGCTACCGTTATGATTCTTGTTATGGGCCGGGTTGACTTGTTCGGCCCGTTTTTGTAGGCCTATTAAGAATTAAACAATTCACTCTATAGATGAATCTATGCCTGGGCACAAGGCAACTACTTGCTATTTTTCAAGTACTTGTGACTCGTTTTGGCCCGTACAAGTAATTGAAAGTTCGGCTTGATACTCGACTCGTTTGAGCAAGTACTTGCTAGAACAAGTACTCGTCCAAAATTTTGTTACTTGCAAGTAACTTGACCCGGTTTGTTACTTGCAAGGTAACTTGACTTGGCTTGTTACTTGCAAGTACTTGTTACTTAAATCTTGAAGTCTTGAACATTTAATTTAAATAAAAAACCAATCTCATACGTATTATAAAACATTCAGAATTTTAAACATCGTAAAATCGCAAAACATCCTAGAATCACAACACATTGAAAGTTCCAAAAGATAAGCATTTTAAAACAACTTGGTTCAAATTGAAATCTTGTCTCTATCTTCCTTCTTGAGTTCTTGTCTTCTTGATTCTCTTTTTTTTCCATATAAATAAAACCAACATAACAAATGTTACTATTAGTGTATTACGCTTTAAAACAAAACTTGAAAATCATGAAGTATCTTGTAATACAAAACGGGACGAGTAGCGGAGCGAGTAACGGAGCGAGTAACGGGGCGAGTATCGAAACGGGGCGAGTAACGAGCCAAGTATCAAAAAAAATTATGATACTTGATACTTGACCCTTACTTGCAAGTAATGGAATTATACTACTTGGTACTTGCCTTGACAACACCGGGTACTTGTTTTTTCAAGGCGAGTACGAGCCGAGTAGCGAGTATCAACCAAGTAACGAGTACTTGTGCCCAGGCCTAGATGAATCTACAAATCCTAACTCCTAATCTCTTTGTAGAGCCATAGAGGAGTCCTAGTGTTCTCAAGTATCAAGATTGCTCTTTTCCATAACAACATTTGGAGATGAAAAAAAGCTTTTAAGAATTAAGACAAGAAAAAGATTTATCATCAGAACTATACATCTTTCTTTCTTTTTTTTCATTTTTTTTAATTGTTTTGCATGAATGTCAAATTTTATTCATCAAAAAAACCTTTGTTACAATCATAGGTGTCGGTGACACCAAAAAAATTGTTAGGACAATTCTTCTTTCTGTCTTTTTTTTTTTTAATGGAAAGCTTCTTTGCATCAAAAGAAGAGTTTGCATTACCTATAGCAGATGCGAGCTTTTCTCGTGACTCCTCAAGCCATCTTTTCATTCTTTCTTGTGCTTGATTTGCATTCACGCTATCAGATACTGAAGTTGTAGAAGAATAAGAAGCATCACTTGATCTTTTGCTTGTTGATTGAAACTTGTCCATCAATCTAAGGAATAGCCACCCATTGATCATCTTTGCAAGAAGTTCTTTACCTCTGTTGGAATTGTATCCTTGATTGAACCTGCAAAAGAGAAAAGAAGAATCCATGAGAAGAAGATGAAGAACAGAGGAAGAAGCATCGGAAGAAGAAGACGATGTCGGAGAAGATGTTGTCGTGAAAGAAGATGTCAACGACAAAGAGGAAAGTCAACACAACAAGAGACAAGTTGGGCTTGTGTTGTTTTGTAAGAATAAGTGATTGGGCTAAATGTTTTGTTAGGCCCAAAAGAGTAAGTGTGTTGTGTTAGTCAAAGACTAGCTTAGTAGAGTTGTCAAGTGTAGTGGTTAAGAGTTGTTGTGTAAGGTTTAGTAGTTTAACCTTGCTTGTGTAAGAGAGTCTAGAAGTAGGAGTAAGGTCCAAGTGCAAGTGTGTGTATGTGTATGTAGTAAGTAGAAGTAGAAGTAAAGTAGTATAAGTATGCTTGTATGTGTGATGTAACAAAAGTATCCTTGTGATCCATTAATACAATGTAGACAATTAAAGAGTAATGGTTTTTGTTCTTTCTCTCTAAAGACAATGAAACCGTAAATGAGTGTGAGAAATAAAGAGAATGTGAGAATGTCAACAACCTCGCTATTCAACGAGACCAACAAATCAAGAAGAAGACTTCCATTAAAACCAGAGCTAAAAACAACTTGTGGGGCCAGCCACAACCCACAACATAGCAAGCACCACCCCATAAACCGTAGACAAAGAAAAATCCTTTGCAATCGAGTCACATTTCAAATCGAACGACACGATTTGTTATAAGTGCCAAAGCAGAGGTCATATGACAAGGGACTGCCTTAACAAGCGAGTGATGGTGATTACACATAATAAGTAGTATCGTCTCTAGCATTTTTATTCGCATTAGAAGATGCTGGCTTGTGCGGATTTAATCGTTTCTTTATCCAACTAGAAGGCTTATTACTTCTATCCCCAACACTTGGATCTACGCCGTCTCTAGCATTTTGATTCCCACTAGAAGATGCTGGCTTGTGTAAATAATTTAGTCGTTTCATTATCCAACGAGCAAGCTTATTACTTCCAGCCCCAACACTTGGATCCACATCGTCTCTAGCACTTTGATTACCATTACTAGAAGCAGGTTTACACGGGTTTGGTGGTTTCTCCATCCCACAAGAAGCCGGATTTTGTGGGTTTGGTTTTTCTGAATTTCGGTCTTTGCTTCTTTCGACTTCCTCCTTTGATCATAAGAAGTTCTCTTACCCTTATCAGATAACATACACCAAGCTTCTCTAACTAGCTTAAAGGCACCTTCCGCGCCATTAAACAAGGTCTTGTCCGGATGAAGCAAAAGAGCTAACTTCTTGTACTGTTTCTTCACACTACTTCATCATCAGCTAAAGGATCTACACCAAGAATGCCATACCAATCAGCTTCTTCTCCTCTTTTTGATGCAAAGAGATAAACATCGATATATCATCATCAACATTTGCTTCAAACCATGAGGATACAAATTATGAGCCTTGTTAATGAATTTCTTCGCTCCATTGTAATCATTCTCCGAAAGTTTCCTCTCAGCAATATTCATTGCCCTTCTAGCTTCTTCCTTATTACATTCCATGTCGTTAAGAGAGTTTTCTTCTCTACAAAGACAACCGGAGAAGCAAAAGAAAAATAGGTTCAGAAGAAGCCGTAGTGAAAGAAGAAATTTTGCAAACTCTCGTGCCAAGTGAAGAGATCCACTAAAACCCTAATGACTTAGAACACAAGCAAGAGCGAGCGCTTATGATTGGAAATTGTCAAATTGATGGCTTGGAAAAAAAAGGAAATTAGTAAACAAAATTTATTACTTAGAGTAAAAAGGAAATTATTAGCTCAGAATATTCTTTTGTATTGGAAACAAATTTGAGAAAAAGAATTAATATTCTTACAATTATTTTGATTGCTGTAAAGAACTGTTCTAAAATCAACCAATAACTTGAAAAGTGAGGAAGATAGTGTTTTGAGTCTTAACGTTTTGATGTTGCTGTAAAAACTGTTAGAAAATCAACTAATAACAAGACATAATGTTTTAAGTGAAGTTAGGACACTACACATTGACGATGAAAGAAGAACTTGCTCTTGTTCCACAATACGAATTTTAGTCTAAAGATGAAAAAAGATTAATAACATATCTTAAAGAAACACTGAAAGGTATAAAAGCAGGACTATGCAAAGGTATAAGTCTTACTTCTTATGCCACATTTGTCCTCTGCTTCTTAAGAATCTTCCCTGCAGGAGCAACCGTTTCTTGTGCCTCAAGTCCTCTTTTCAATTTTTGATTTGCGGCACTTCCACAATTAGACCTTGCCTTTGATGACACTGATGAAAAATTCCAGGTAAAACTAACCGATGGCGAAGAATTTATCCGAGAAGAAGAAGAAGCGTTTTTGGTGCTTTTGTTTGGTACTTTATTCTGCACACTCCATTGTTGTTTCACTTGCTGTTGAGAAACTTGTTTGGTGCTTTTGTTTGATGCTTTTGGAGTCTTCTCGGTTGCAATGAAAGTTTGACGACAATTTGGACAATGTATAGCCTTGTTAAGATTAGAATTCCTCAAATATTCACCTTGTGTCTTGCAGCTTCTGCACATTGTCCAAAAAGTTCTGCTTTTCCTCTGTTTTGATGAATCCGCAGACGCATACTTAGTAGCTTTAGTAGGCTTATGTGGGTTTGTTGGTTTCTGTATCTCGATCTGTGTTTCTTTCGACTTCCTTCTTTGATCATAAGAAGCTCTCTGAACCTTATCAGATAACAAACACCAAGCTTCTGAAACCAACTTAAAGGCGCCTTCAGCGCCATAACACTTGTTCTTGTCCGGATGAAGCAAAAGAGCTAACTGCTTGTAATTTTTCTTCAGTGCTTCATCATCAGCTAAAGAGTCTACACCGAGAACTCCATACCAATCAGCTTCTGATCCTCCTCCGTTTGATGCAGAGATATAAACATCGATCATCGTCTTCCAACGGTCATCAAGATTTGGAAACAAATTATGAGCGTTGTTAATGAATTTCTTGGCACCAACGTAATCTTTATCCATAAGTTTCCTCTCTACAATCTCCATTGCTCTTTTAGCTTCTTCCATCGTAGATTCCATATCGATTGTTCAGAGGATAACACAGAAATCAGAAATAGAAAACAGATTTGCAGCAACCCGTGAAAGTGAAAAATCTAAAACCCTAGAGACTTACGCTTGATATAAGTAATTTATAGATACTGTATATTATACGGTGAATTTCCATTTTCAAAAGGAATATAGATTTCCTTTTCTAAGGTAATTAATCAACTGAAAATAATTAGTTAATGCAGTAAAAAGAAAAAATATTAGGTCGGTGGCTATTTTCTTGAGAATGATTTCAATTTGATTTTGACTTTTTTTTTTTTCTTTTAATTGGAAACAACTATTAAAATTGTTGATTTTGTAACATGATATTCTTAATTTTTTTTTATTTTAAACTATTATAGAATTAACTAAATAACTCATGACAACACACCGTGTGAGCTAATTGATCGCTTGCTCCACAGCTTATAGAATCAACACGGTGTCTTTTGTTTTTGAATCTCATTTTTCAGTTTCATTAGCTTTTAAGCTATGCAAGAACCTGGATTGTTTTTTCCGGTGTTGGATTGAACTCTCTTCTTCAATATGATGCCCTTCTAATCTTAAAATTTCCTTCCCTATCTTCTCGTGGAATTATTTACTTTAGGCATACTATACATTTTTTTTTTTTTTTAACAAACATTTAATTATTCATCGCAAGAATGGGTTATGACCCATGGGCCTGAACGATTACATGGTTACAAAAGGGCAAGGTCCAAATCGGAAATTTTGCCAGAAACCAGAGATCTGACTAGGACGGTTAACCGGAACAGAAATCCGACCAAGAATACCGGCGCTAACAAGAAGGACTCTTTTGAAACATTGATGCCGACTCGAGCTCTTAACCGGAGCTAGCGGATCCGACCTCAAGCCTCTGCCAACATCAAGCCAAAACCTTGAATACTTCTTCCAGAAAGGTCAAATTTGAGAAAACCAAGACCTCATCTCTCAACTCCTCCACCTAGCAAGAAGAGAGATCACTAATCGAACACTCACCACCGGCATACTATACATTTACCATCGCATTCTCATGCACAGCAGCACAGCTAATACCTAGATCTTCAATATGACTTATGTCATTTAAAACTTTCTAAATATGTTTAAGTGTTTCTTTTTTTTTTTTTCATTAATATTACTCGATTAATTAATAAACACGATAAAATAATAAATTTGCTGGTCTCGAATCGGACCAGTGTAAAAATTAACTAAAATCGATAAAATAATAAGATAATAATTTTCTTGAAATCATTATATAAAAATATGGTCCTAACAATATCATAAATTAATAATCATATAAATTGGCATATATATATATATATATTTTAAGTGTTTTCATAAAAATATTCAAAATTTTCTTTAAGTTTTCAAATTTTGAATATAAATAATTTCTGTTTTAACAATCTTATAAGTTTCTCAAATACTAGATGTCACTATTTATAAATTTAAATTTATGTATATCATTTGTATATCTGAATTCTATAATCTTTGTTATTTATTGTAAAAAAAAAATTTTATCTTCGAAATAGTAAATGTTTAAGTCTAAAACTATAAAATTTATAACATTCAAAACATTAATTTTATTTAGATCACATTATTTTAACTCATATTTTAAAAAAAAGTTTTAAAAATTAAAACAAAACTTTTATAAATTAATAAATATTAATTTATACTATAAATTAATAAATAGAAATTTACAGATAAATTAATAAAAATATTATTAATTTATTTTACTCACTACGGAAAGATAAAAAGAAAGAAAAATGTCAAAAACTATAGGAATAGATTATTAGAAAAACATACACCCAACACTTAGAAAATTTTAATATTGTTTAATGTACATTTTTTTTTGATAACTTGTGAATATATATTGCCTTAAAAGGAAAGAGTTATTTACAATGCCAAAAAGGCAGACAGATTCAAGGGCCCAAAAAAAAATTAAAAAGCCAAACTTGAAACAAACTTAACATAACATAGAGGTTAGCTATGAACAAACCATTGAGACAGAAGTCTCCCACAGCCTTTCCGGTAACGGCGAGCAAGAAGAGTGTCCTTAATGTTCCTGTCAATCTGGCCAAAAACCACAGAGACAGAAGAGGAAACAGCAAGTCCAGCATGGAAATAGCAAGTCCAGTAATGTACATTAACCATCAAATATTTAACAAATTAATGTACACGAACATTTTTATACGGCATGAAAAAGGCAAACATAAAATATTTAATTATATTGTCCCTACCAAAAAAAAAAAATTTAATTATATTGTTAGCTTTATTGTTTTTTTCTACAAGCAAGTCCAGTATTGTGATGCATTAAAACACAAGTAAAATTTTATACTTGGAACAATTCGGTTTGCTACACATACATGTATGTACACAATCATGAACCATCAAATGTTTAACCAATAAATATACATGAATTGAACAATTTTATACGGTATGAAAAAGGCAAATATCAACCTTATTCCTCTCGTGGTGACACATACATGTAGACAAGAAAAAGCAAATATAAATACTAGGAACATTAATGTTATAGTAAAGATAACAAAATAGAATACAAATTGCATACACATTAAAGAATGAGCGGGAACCCTTGTAATTCAACTTTTAAGGTTCACATATTGCATAGAAGCATTGTAACTGAGAAATTCCTAGCGGCTATGAAAATATGCAGGTGACGTCGCAAGGTGTCTCTTTCAACTTTCCATGTTTCTTCTTTCTCGAGAAGTATGCATTTTTTTTTTGTGACTTGCATGTTAGAGGACCCAGCTGAAATCTAAATAACTATAAAAGATCTTAGTTTAAGAGTGACACCAGCCCTTATATATTTATATGTAGAGTGTTGAACAGTAAATGTAGTATGTATTATTTAACTGTAGCCGACGATTCAGCGACTGGACGGGGAAAGCGCCGTTAAAGATATCAAAGAAGTAGATTCCATTGTTTGATTCCTTCAATCCGCCCCTTGTTGGGAAATCTGGGATTGCCTCGTGTCGAGTGAGGTTAGCTTTACTCTCCAATTCTGATTCTTCAAACCTATGTTCAACTACGCCAAGACTAACTGTTTCATTTCATAATTGCAATTTTCTCTAGATCACCAGGAAAGATAGAGACAAACATGGCGATCCCTCTCAAGCTTGTTGCAGTGGTTCTCTTCTTACATGTATACAATTCCACTTCGTTTTCCGTCTCGTCCTTGCGAAGTAGTATCTTGAGCAATTCTCTCAGTCTTTTTTTTTTTGCTTGGGTTTTCCATTTGCGAGTTCGGCCAATTTCATTTCACTTGATGATCATGCTACTTCTCTTGACATATATATAGTGAAATACTTGTTCGCTTTATTGCTAAAAGTAGGGGTGATTGTGATGTTGCAGGTGATATTTTCCTCAGTTTTTGTCAGCGCAGAGATGATCAGCTCCAATTCTGCGGATTGCCCTTCGTCTTCCAGTTGTTCAGTTAGTATAGGCACACTTAAAGTTGGTTGCCTTGAGATATCAGTGACATTTAACGTTTTGCTGTTAGTGTGTTGTTTCTTCCGATGGGTTGCTTTAAGACAAGATATAACACATCTCGGTGGTATGGGAAGCGAAATTGATCCTACATCTCGGTGGTATGGGAAGGTAGAACTAATAGTTATCTGAATGAAAGCATAAGTGATCATGTAGAACGGTTAGATGATATGCCATGGGAAACAAATACGCTTGAGTCAAGTTTTATACGCTTGAGTATATTTTTAATATTTAACAAATTAATATACACGAACACTTTTATACGGCATGAAAATGGCAAATATTAAATATTTAATTATATTGTTAGCTTCATTGTTTTTTTCTACAAGCAAGTCCAGTATTGTGATGCATTAAAACACAAGTAAAATTTTATACTTGGAACAATGCGGTTGGCTACACATACATGTATGTACACAATCATAAACCATCAATGTTTAACTAATAAATGTACATGAATTGAACAATTTTATACGGTATGAAAAAGGCAAATATCAACCTTATTCCGCTCGTGGTGACACATACATGTAGATAATCCATGAAAAGGCAAATATAAATACTAGGAACATTAACGTCATAGTAAAGATAACAAAATAGAATACAGATTGCATACACATTAAAGAATGAGCGGAACAAGTGCATAGCCGTCTTAACATTGATGGTGATTCAACCCAATTCAGTTGTTTATCCAATGACAGATGAAAAGAGAATTTTCATCTACCATTGGAGCTAGCTCAATATCATGATAGGAAAACTCTTCATTTGGCATTTGAGCAATCACAAGCTGCTCATCACTTTTTGTGTATGTAAAAGTGGATAGAAGAGTGGATACTAAAGCCCATATTATCTTTTTAACTATCTTTTTTAAATAACACTATAATATAATATTTATCTATAACTAACTCACATTTAAATTTCTTGTGTAAGTTCCACATTTAAATCTTTTTTTGCTCCTATTAAATTTAAAATCAAAGTTACTCATACCAAATAATTTGAAGAACATCACTCAACCCCACTAAAATACATTTACTACTTAATTAAAATAATATTGACCATAATTTATAGTTTGAATGGTTTTCTACTACTTCATAAAAAAAAAATATAACTTCCTAAATGCAGTTATTTTCTAAATATATCTAACACCTCTCATCATCCGATAAAAGTTTATTCTTTCATTTTCCTCCACCAATATCTCAAATTTTTAATACATGTATAATAATCTAACATGTAACTATACAAATATATATTGTTATTATATTAATTTATCCAAGGTTAATATTATTGTCTTAAGAAAAATTATTTAAAATGGTTTGGTAATCCTAAAATCACTAAAATAAAGCTATCAATATATTGTAACTTAAATTGCGTGGAATATGAAAAGGAGGGAAAATAGCTTGAAATTTTCTACAAATAGTTAACTATATATTTACTTTTCACTTAAATAATTTATTTGGATTTTAATCATTGGAATCTAACGTGTTTTACGTGAACAAACAAACAAAATGTTTAAATATCATACGTATAGCGTGACTACACATATGTATGCGTGTCTACATATTCATATTCAGTTAATTAATTCTAACAATTTTGTTTTTTGATATGAAAATCATCATATTCAATATTTTGTAGGAGTTTTTTTTCAGCAGTTTACAGTTAACTAGGGGAGGTCCCCGCGCCCGGCGCGGAGTTGTATGTTGATTAAAACCAGATTTAGTCATTTAGGGTTATAAGTTTTAGACAATTATTGATTTAATTTTGTCAAGAGTATAATTTTTATAACGACATTAATATAGAATTATGGTAAAACGCCATAACGTTTGATATATTATTGCGAGAAAATAGTGATTATTATCCTCTGAATATAGTAAAATGCAAAACGGAAAACTAAAATCATTAGAACCAGAAAGTATAAATTTAGTAGTCTTGGTTTGCTCATCAACAACCAAAGATAATCAAAAGATCAAAATTGGATGTGTGACATTTGTCCTTTCTTCTTGTTGGAAAAGATATCTCGCATCCTCGTTACATCATGACAAGAATGATTGAATAGAATCTGCGAACACTTGTATGAAGCAGTACCTCTTCGTGTACCTTAATTATCAAAGAAATATAGTTTCAATGTCTCAAACCCCAACAATACATGTTAAATAACAAAACCAAAACAAAATACTTTCACTCATTTCAGTTCTTGCAAATCTGAATATACATATGGTAATGTCATCAATACATTGCCTCCACTCAGCGAAAAATTTATTGACATAAAACCACGGTAGTCGATACCGGAGACGCTCACAACTACAAACAACAGAAATTTTGAAGGTACCAATAGTTCTTGACTTCGAATTTAATAATGTGACAATGACAATAATGTGACATCGACAATATTATGTTAACTTACAAAATCCTTCAATTTTTACAAGACATTGAAGTTTAAAGATTATGTTCATTTGGAAACTCCTTCCATTATCCTAAAGATATTGATGTCAAAACTCTTACGTTAATTTTGATATCATGCTCTTCCTCTCCAGACTATTTTAAATAATTGCCCACTCGTCAATGACTGGCTTCTTGGGAGCAAATTCAATCTGATGAGTGTTGTTTTTGTACTTTTGTAACAGAGTATGGGATCACCTCCTGCTCCTCTGTGAGATCTTTCGAGGTATGGAATTTGGTTTTCTCTAGGATTTATCCTCGACAAAGATTGTTTTGATTTTGGACTGAGATACTTCTTGGACCGACACTCTTCTACCCATGAGATACTTAAATAATTGTCAACTCGTCAAAGATTGGGTTCTTGGGAGCAAATTCAATCAAATGAGTGTTGTCTATGCACTTTTTCAGCGGAGTCTCGGGATCACCTCATGCTCCTCTGTGAGCTCTTCCTAGGTGTGGAATTTAGTTTTCGCTAGGCTTTATCCTCGACAAAGGTTGTTGTGCTCCTGGACTAAGCTACTTTCTTGGATCCGGCACTCTTTCTCTCTAGAGTCACTTAAATAATTGCCGACTCGTAAAAGACTGGCTTCTTGGGGACAAATTTAATCCGATGAGTGTTGTCTTTGTACTTTTGTAACGGAGTCCCGAGATCACCTCTTGCTCCTCTGTGAGCTCTTCCCAGGTGTGAAATTTAGTTTTCTATAGGTTTTTTCCTCGACAAAGGTTGTTTTGCTCTTGGCCTGAGCTACTTTCATGGACCGTCGAGAGTCACTTAAATAATCGCCCACTCATCAAAGACTGGCTTCTTGGGGCCAAGTGCTGTATTTTCACTTTTGCAACAGAGTCTCGGGATCACCTCGTGTTCTTCTGTGAGATTTTTCAAGGTGTGGAATTTGGTTTTCTCTAGGATTTATCCTCCACAAAGGTTGTTTTGCTCTTGGGTTGAGCTACTTTTTGGCACCTGACGCTCTTTTTCTGTTGAGACACTTAAATAAATCTCGCTCCAATCGTCCTCTTCAGTCGTTAAAGACTGGTTTCCTGGGGACAAATTCAATTCGAGGAGTGTTGTCTACGCACTTTTGCAACGGAGTCTCAGGATCACCTCATGCTCCTCTGTGAGCTCTTTCGAGGTGGGAAATTTGATTTTCTCTAGGCCTTATCCTTAACAAAGGTTGTTTTAATCTTGGGATGAGCTACTTTATTGGACCCAACGCTATTCCTCTCCTTACACTTTTAAATAATTGCCGACTCGTAAAAGACTGGCTTCTTGGAGATAAATTCAATCCGATGAGTGTTGTCTTTGTAGTTTTGCAACAGAGTCTCGAGATCACCTCTTGCTCCTCTGTGAGCTCTTCCCAGGTGTGTAATTTAGTTTTCTCTAGGCTTTGTCCTCGACAAAGGTTGTTTTGCTCTTGGCTTGAGCTACTTTCTTGAACCGTCGAGAGTCACTTAAATAATTTTCCACTCATCAAAGACTGGCTTCTTGGGGGCAAGTGTTGTATTTGCACTTTTGCAACGGAGTCTCGGGATCACCTCGTGTTCCTCTGTGAGCTTTTTCAAGGTGTGGAATTTGGTTTTCTCTAGGATTTATCCTCCACAAAGGTTTTTTTGCTCTTGGGTTGAGCTACTTTCTGGCACCTGACGCTCTTCTTCTATTGAGACACTTAAATAAATCTCCAATCATCCTCTCCAGTCGTTAAAGACTGGTTTCCTAGGGAAAAATTCAATTCGATGAGTGTTGTCTATGCACTTTTGCTACGGAGTCTCAAGATCACATCCTGCTCCTCTATGAGCTTTTCTGAGGTGGGAAATTTGATTTTCTCTAGGCCTTATCCTCAACAAAGGTTGTTATACTCTTGGGCTGAGCTACTTTATTGGACCCAACGCTCTTCCTCTCCTTACACTTTTAAAGAATTGCCCACTCATCAAAGACTGGCTTCTTGGGAACAAATTCAATCTGATGAGTGTTGTCTTTACACTTTTGCAACAGAGTCTCGGTATCACCTCATGCTCCTCTGTGAGCTCTTCCCAGGTGTGGAATTTAGTTTTCTCTAGGCTTTGTTCTCGACAAAAGTTGTTTTGCTCTTAGGCTGAGTTACTTTCTTTGTCCTAACGCTCTTCCTCTCCAGAGTCACTTAAATAATTGCCCACTCGTCAAAGACTGGCTTCTTAAGGACAAATTCAATCTGATGAGTGTCGTCTTTGCATTTTTGTAACGAAGTCTCATGATCACCGTCTGCTCCTTTGTGAGCTCTTTCCAGGTGTGGAATTTAGTTTTCTCTAGGATTTTTCCACAACAAAGGTTGTTTTGCTCTTGGATTGAGCTATTTTCTTGGACCTGACGCTCTTCCAGTCATGTGCCTTCTTTTCTTAGAAAAGTAGCATCTCAAGTGGTGGTTTATAAGTTCTGGCGACAGCGTAATAACATTCTCCATAACTCCTTGCGGCTTGCTGCTCAAATCATTTTCAAGATGGTGGAGTGGAGCTACGAGATGAACAAAGCTTATGCTTATTTGGATTCGTTATCTATTTCCAAATCTTTCTTTACTCTACTGTAGTCTTGTTTTTATCTCTTTTTTTGCCAAGGTTGCTTTTGTGTAATTATTTATCTTTTGTAAAGCCTCAAACTTCATTTTAGATCATATTTACATGTTTAGGAAAAAAATAATTCGGAAAAATGGAAACAAAAAAAATAGATAAGCTTAGTAACTAATAAAAATTTCTGTGATCCTTAGCAGAAAACAACTCTGCATTCCTGCAACTTTCAGCACACATATTTTTTAGCATCATTCGGGTGCCATTGCAAACAATAGTAGCCAAAACCATAAGAAACAATATCATAGAAACGTGATCGACTAATAAATATTCAGAAATTATATATACATGAAAAACAACAATATTCGAATACCTCGAGTGACTTCTATTCTAGTGAATCTCATGATAAATATGGTGATATTATCACATTGTTTACTCCGTTCTCTCAAAAATTTACAACAGTATCCACCATGTAGTCGACATTATAGACGTAAATTTATTATAAAATTAAGTTTTTAGCATACTACCCAAATTAAACTATAAGAAATCTAATTTTGATTAAATTAATAACTTACAATTCATCTTCTAATCCCACATAAACTTGATCCCACACTTTATTATTGGTTTTCCGTCTTCAATATTGCTAACACTCACGACCCAACCAATTAAATATAATTATTTAAATTAATAGATCAAACCATAACAATGCAAAGAATAAAATTTCCAAACAAAAGATATTATGGGACCAAGGAAATAAACATACTCAAAATTAAGTATCAATTTTCCTAAAAGATGCGAATGCGCAGTAATCAATCGCACCCAAGGAAGGTATATGTGAAACAAAGATTGATAAATTCCAATGAATTTTAAAATCATAAAAAGTATGACTAAGCAAACTGATAACATGAATCAAAATCTCTAAGTGTTATCCATCCAGGGCCTGCCCTGAGATTTGAAGGGCCAAATACTCAAAAAAAAGTTTTTGGTTATTTTGAAAGGTTTTAAAATTTAGGGCCAATTATAGTAAAATAAATAAAATTAGGTCCGTTTCATAAATAATTTTTGTTGAAGAATTTCAGAAACAAAATTTGGGTTACAGCAAAAGTTTCTTGTTGATGTCTATAGGGCCGGCCATGTATCTATCGTCCTTGGAAAAACCTGAATCCACGATGACGATAATACTCTCTATCAATTATAGTATATATGTCGTGACCCTAACAAACAAAATAAAATTGTTAAAGGTATAGCAATCTTTCAGCAAACAATTTATTTTATTAGAAAAACCAAAAATCTGTATAACCTCTGTATCAGTATAAGTTGGAACATATCGTCCAAGATCGAAGAACACTTAAACCTATTAAGTATCTATACTCAGATACTTTGATTTTACAAGGGAGCACTGAAGGGTGTAGATATGACACTCATGCTACGATAAAATCTTTCAAAGCATTTCTTGCTCATCTTCGGGGTTTTGTCCCATATTACGAGCCTAGCTAATCTAATCAAATATACATGATGAGAATATGTCTTTATCAAGTAAGTAGTGGATTGATTAGGGTTAAGTGGTATACCAAACCTCCTTAATTAAGACTCTTGGTCTCTTAGTCTCTGTTTCTATACCCTCTGTTTTACCTCTTTGTAAAGGAAGAATCTAGATTATTCCACTTCATGACGTATTAATTAAATTTTCCAACATGCTATTTTTACATTTCACTGAATCGTTTGCTTCGCGGAACAGTTTCCTTCAAACATTGAGAAAAAAAATCATCATTATTTGATGTTCTAAAACTGAACAACAGAGCAGATGCAGGTATATCATGGATATTGAGGCTTAGAGTTGATACAAAGTTGTTTCTGAAAGATTTACCTTGCTTTGATTTTAGTCTTTTCTCTCTGTCACATTTCCCCTTAGCATTGTCTGTTTTCTAGAAGTAGCAGACACAGTCAAAGGTGTCTGTTTCCTTTGAGCGTCAGAGCATAATCATTTCCCTACAAACCATGCGATACAATAATTAGCATTTTTCATCTATAGTATCATGTCTGATAATCAATACCTTAATGGGATTGCTTTCAATACATGTATGAGATATGTTTTTCCGCAATTTCTTGCTCCGTGGGCGACGACATTAGCATCTTTACCCTCAAAGACAGTAGAGATAAGAGGCTTTATCTCCTTTGATAGAATTAAACCTGTGATTCTGTTTTTTTTTTGTAGCAATAGTCCAATTTATATGAATCTTTCGAACTGCCACAACACAATAGTTAATATGGCTTGAAACGTTGCTAATCCACAACAGACTGTGAAAGATTTAACTCAAAACTCAAAAGTATATTCTACTTGGTGAGAACATTTTTGTAAAATTAGAAAATCGATAAATTAAAGATAAAAGATCAATTGAAACATCACCTGAATCTTCTTCATGCATCGTGGTTGCTTTCATTCATCCAAAACATACAATCGTTTAAAAAAACAAACACTATTAGAATTTATAGTAACGAAAATAATATGTATAGCCAAAAAACAAGAAGATGAGCATACCAAGGCTCCTCGGAGGCAACGATTGGTGTCTGAAAATTTTAGCAGCGTTGTGCCTCTTGTTGGTTGAAATTGGAACACCAGCTGGTGTATAAGGATCACACATAACCTGCATGTATCAATAATCAATAATTTCATGGATCTGATATAGTTCCAATTGAATTTGGTACACTAATCAGATAAAACAAACCATGAATTTGGTACACCAGCCTTTATTGAAGTTTAATATAATAATTGATGATTAAGCGTTACATAGATGGATAAAGACGTGACAATAAAAAAAGATAGATAAAAGCAAGCTTTACGTTTTTACACGCCTTGATTCAAGGCAAGACACCGAAACACCCCGTGAAACAAACCATGTTCATACCTAAATGAAAAATCCATAAAGAGATCATTATTTAAAAAAAGAGATAAAACTTCTGATCGCATCAATACAAAGAAATAATAATAATTGAGACTCCTGGTGAAAGATAATCAGAGAGAAGCAAGAGAAAAAGAAGAGTTTCCAACGATTATAGTCTATTGGGGTTGTTGAGATGCCGTAATTTGCATCATGATGGAACCAATAATCAAACTGATATCAAATTATGTAAATACAAAATCAAAGCTTCTTTTTTTTTAGTGAAGAATATGGTAAATACAAAATCAAAGCTTCTTTTTTTTTTTAGTGAAGAATATGAAATCTAAGCTGCTCGCAAAATATTATGGGAAAGCTTATAGATTTCTCAATACACCAAGCATAATTTAAATATTAAACATGAAAGTACTAAAGTGAAAAACTCACCATATGTTCGATTGAATCAACAATTTAATTGTCCTGGAATTGTTTAACGATGTTGCATCCGTAACCTATAACAATACATAAACACCATGAATTCATATGTGTAAAGCCAAATAAAATAAAACGCAAAAAAAAAAAAAAGCAAAAAAATGGGGTTAGTTATGATTTGAAAGTGAAACCTAGAGAAGGTATTTATATTAAACTGAAAGGCGGTGTAAGATCTAATTTTTTTAATTTTTGAAGATAATTACAACAACAAGAAATGAAGATTTATATATTGTGTTAGATCAAATCTTTATCAAAACAATTAATATTCCTAAAAACAATTAATAACTACTATGAATATTAATTATAAAAAAATATTCCTTATTTTATTTGTTAAAAAATGGAACAATAACATAATTTTTTTTAGATTTACAATTATATTTGACATTTATTTAGATACACCATCATTATCGGTATAAAATATAAAAGAAAGTTTCTTTTATTTTATCAGATTTGTGAATTTAAAGAATATATGATAGTTGTTTGGATATTATCGGCAATATCTATATATTTTAGAAAAGTAAATTTTACTTTTAAAAACAATTGGCTCGTGATTATCACAACATAAATTTACCATTAATATATCAAAAATATAATTAAACGATTAATTATGAGACACATCTTTTGTTGGAAAAAAAGAGAACCAAAAAGGAAAAAAAAACACGGAAAAGGAAGAGAAAATAAGAAGACACGACCAATCCTTTCTCCGACGTAATTGTATATGACTCACGACCATGATTAGATTGGTGGAGATTAATCATTGGATGTTCTTGGTCGAACGATAAACCGTCATAAAAAAGGTATGTAAACTACATTTGATCCAAATTTATTTATTTTTTTTCATTTTTTCGTGTTTAAGAATATTACTATTTTTTTAAATGTAAAATATATCGAATTTTTATATTTTAGGGTCAGTTAATTTTTTAATTTTAATTAATATTCGAATTAATTTAATAGAAGATATTTAAGTAATTACGCAAAATCAAGGGCTCAACAAGAGCCGAGAGTCCGACACAGCAAAAACACTTCTCAAATATTGTTATTATAGATAGATACTTAGGGTATGGAACTGTGTATAATGATTCCATATGCTACGGAAATCTGAAGTCGTGTAGCTTTTTTCACAGTTTACCAATAAGCACAAACAGTCCAATTTTTTTAGAGAACTAAATAATCAATGTTCGGATATATCTTGATGATTCGACGTAATCTTTTAATTTATTAATTAATTATTAAATATGAACACATATCTAACTCTTCGATATAGATTTATGAACCAGGCGCTGTAAGAAACGATCAACTACGAGATATTTGTTCAACAGAACTTAAAAAAAAATACAGAACATGATTTAAAGTAAAACAATGTCATTTGTCAATAAAAACGTAAAACAATACCATAATAATTTCAAACAAAAGTTACATAAAAAGTCTATTTATTATAGTCACCCCTCAGCCGTCGATCTCCGGCAGTTTTTCGAAATTGGTTTTGGTTTACGGTCATGCACTTTATCGGGTTGTTGTAGATACTGTACACCGACAGCACATAAACAGCGTCGAAAGACTTGTCTTCGAACTCGAATTTCTGATCTTCGTTGAGATCCTTGACGAAGAAGTAATCGAGTCTAGGGTTACGTGCAAGCTCTTGTGCGTTAAGACCATGCCCCACCACTTTCTCGTACTTGACTTCTTCTTGAAGATGGCTAACCCATGGATGTATTCGTTTGGTAGAGAATGGATCCATCGACGTGATCTGCGATCAAACAAAAGAAAAAAGCACCATCAGTAATCGGTATATGGATATAGCACAACGAACGATAATAAATAACAGAAATCTAAATTAATAATACGTCAAAAACATCAACAAGCAAAGAAAAAAGAAAAAGAAAAACGGGGGTTAGTTATGTCATAGAAGCGGACACAGGCAATGTATTTATACCGGATGGAGTTCGACTTAAACCTAGGGTTTTGCTCTGTCGGCGTAAGTAATAAAATCAGAGATAAGCAATGGAAAATCAATAATAATAAAAATAAATAAATTGGATAGTTAACTGTTTAGAATATTAGTTTAAGATATACTCAATAGAATAAAGGAATATTAACATTTAACGATCTCGTTATCATCGTATACAAACTCGATATTATCTCACATTAGTTAGTTTTTAAAAAGTAACAATACAAAACTGTCATATTTCTAGAATATATATATAATTTATAATTTATAATAATAACATATATAATTATTATGGTTACCATACGATATATTTATATGAGCTGTAGTTTAATAATAAATAGGATACAATATATTTATATGAGCTGTAGTTTAATAATAAATAGGATATAAACTTATTTTAATCTATTAGTAAGATTTAACGAATAATAATTAAAACCAACAATTAACTTATCGTATATGAATAATAATCTATGAGATGATCGTATCGTATTGCTAATAAACTCCCGAAACCCTAGCAACATACATTATCTTGGAAAATCTCTCTACAATGGGTTCGGAAGAAAATATCAGAAGATCAAAGTAAAATTATGGGCTAGCGAGATGGGAAAAAAAGGATATCAAGTCTGTACTCGACACTACGTTGACTTAAACTAAAGGTAGTATTCAAACCCACTAAATATGAATCTTTTGCCGTCGAAAGGTATTATCAAGCCAAGTAGATGGTCACGAAGCTAACATGAGATGGTGGTAACAGGATACAAAAATTAAGATCACAAACTGGTACGTAAACGATATGTAGAAATGTCTAGAGATTCATTTGATGTTAGGGTATCAGGTTCTTCAAGTAACCGGATGTTCTTGGTGGGATGATAAACCGACATAAAAAGGTACGTTAATTGCATTTGATCCATTTTTTTTTTTTTTGTATTATTTGGTGTTTATAAATATTGATAAAACCAATTAATAAGTTTGCATATTAATATATATTTATATATATATATATATCGAATATTTATATTTTTATTTTAGGGTAGATATGTATTTTAACCTTAACTAATTAATATTCGAATTTAATAAAGGGCATTTAAGTAATCACACAAAAGCAAGGGCTCAACAAGAGCTGTGAGTCCGACACATCAACAAAAACACTTCTCAAATATTGTTATTTATAGATATTTTTATTCTCATTAATGTTAAAAACAATTCTTTCAACTGTGTATGATTATTAGGATAGTAGAGAATTAATTGTGAGGCTTATTTGAATATATGGATTAAATTAAGATATCTAGACCTCTTTGCGATGAGAGATTTGTTTTTGTTCTTTTACCCAATGGCATTTCATGTAAAATTTAGAAACTTCATGTCTTCATGTCATTAAGTAAATAATGGTTCCCAGTTCATAGTATAGATGGTCAAAACAATGTAGTTTTAATAATATATACATAGTCTAATACATGTTAATTAAAAATCTACAGAGAGATACTTCGTTTGGTTGACTTGCATTTTTGGCAAATTGGGATGTTTTTTCCCGCCATCTGCTACATTATCATCATAGATATGTGATCTAATCTTATTACTAATAATGATCAATCTATAAGATCTAACTACATGTTATACATGCGATTATAATGAACGATTCCATAAACAACTCCACGACATTCAGCTCTCCCTGCATTAATCGGTTCTCATATTGACGATTTTACTTGGGTCATACCAACGAAGGATAATCTTTACCCATAAGACTCGAGACCACAACGACATGGATAGTCTAACCTCTAACACTTGAGACCACAACGGAAAACACTGTATGTAGCATCATTAATCTTCAAAGAAGTACATTCTCTGGGAATCGAACCCCACACCTAGTATAACATCCTGTCAAATGGTCAAAAGGGGTTCCACGACAAATTAGGATTAAACTTATAAAAAATAAAGACATAGATGTTTTTTTTTTGTGTAGAATACCCTATTCTAGTTGAGTTTCTTGTCTTGATAGCAAGATATGTATTTGATTTGGTATATTTACCTCCTGAAAGTCTAAAAACTTACAGTTATTTCTCGATCATCTACTAATGCAAAATATTGAGTCTTGGCTTTAGCTTCGGTAATATCATATGGTTCCACTATCACCTCCTGGATTTAAAGATTATCCTTCTTCAAATTTGGTTCTCTTCCTGAAAGTACATTTTTTCATATCGAAATCTTCCCCAGAAAAATCAAGCACATCGAAATTGACTACAATATTGTAAGGGAAAGTTGTAATCTAGTAATATATCATGGTTTTTATGGTTCTCAGCCATGATATTGTTTTTAGTCTTTTTTTTATTCCTAGAGTCCTTTTTGAGTCTTTTGCATGTGCAGATAATGGAGTGTTTTGAAGTGAAACCGAAGAAATTAAGCTGAAGGAACGAATCTGGAATTGGATGAAGGAGTGAGTGTCGATCGACACTCATTTGGTGTCGCTGGACACCTTAATTGACGTCAGCCCAGAGAAGTCTCGACAACTTAAAGAGTTTTGAAGAATTACAGAAAAACCTAGAAAACTTCCCTAATTTCAACCAAGTCTCTGAACGTTTTTAAGCACTTATAAATAGATTTTTGGGCCATTGTTTAGACTCTTTTTACTTTGCAACTTTTTTGAAATTTTGATAGCTTAAACCTTTTGGGAGAGAATTGGAGAGAGCTTGGATTCATAATTCAAAACTCTGTAGAGAGAAGATCTTTCTTAACTCTAATCTTTATTTGATTTCTTTTATTCTTTCTATTCATAAAATGCTTTATGTTTCTATGATCATGTCTGAGTAGTCTGCTTGTTAGGATTAAGAATTCTCAATAGGGATTTAGATGAATTGTTAGATCTAATAAACTGTTAGGATAAATCCATAGAGTTCTTCACTTATATATGATTGTTCTTAATACGTGTTATAGAGTAGCTAACTAGAATCTGATCTTAGGGTTAATTAGCAGAAGAGTGTAATTTTCCCTAAACTATCTTAGGTGAGAAAAAATCTTTATTCTCAAAGAGGTTGGGTTTAGGTATTTTTGTGAACATATTGAACCCGATTTTAATGCTTGTTTAGAAGTAGAATTCACAACGAGAGTTGGGATCCTAGATTTTAGACA